GTTAATCATATTTCAGATCGATTAGCATAATTATGTTGATTTTTCAAACACTGTGGATGTATATTTTGACATTACCTGCTTTATAAATGTATTCATATTATATATTGATTTTCTTTTTTGCTATTCATACTAGCTCCTGTTTTCGATAGAACTGGCCTTATTTTTTCTTTGATGATTGATTTGTTTTGCTTATTTTATTACTCATTCCTTATTGGTAAACAGCCAGTACTATTGCTTCAAAGATGCATACCTACAAATACTTTGCTTTCAAAATGTGATATCATGATAGACATGTAATCATTGGAATGACTTTTCTCCAAATCTCAATTTTTATGTCACTTTGTATGAAAGCCATACAAAGAAGGAAGTAGCTAGATTCTCCTTTGAATTTGAAGTAACTTTACACCCAATGATTGTTAATTTAAGCTACATATAAGCTTACCTCATTTACAGGTTATAACAGTTTACTTTGATGTTATTAACATGTTTTGCAGATGATAACATGCTTTAACTATTAATTCGTTGCCAAATTTTTGTCTTCAAAAGATAATCAGTATTCCACATACATTGTTGTACTTTTTATGCAAGTACACTAATGCTGAGCACTGTTCTTGCCCATAGTCCTTGATGGCAAATTACATATATATATCTTAAATCATGCACTACAGTGTGAGATACTATTCTGCAAAGGGTAAGGAATTCATTGTAGGCTATTCAGTGTTTAACCCATTTGCGACAACAATGAGAGTCCTGAATTCCATGTTTATATATTTCTGTTTATCTTGAAGTGATTGGGGACATAATAGACTTCAAAATGGGGGTGTTTCTTCAAGTGCCTTGTCAGTGATTTTGACTGACAAATTCGCTCTCAGCTAATCAGATGCAAGGATTTCAGTAAAAAATAACAGTTTGTCTGTAAAAATCACTGACAAGACAATTGATTAAATGCTTTCTAGTTTGAAACATGTCATCTGTTACTAGTGTAGTTCCTTATAGGTACACTATGAAGTTGAAGTCTGTAAATTGGAATAAAAATATCTTGGTGAAATGATTACATGCACTACTTTGTGTTTACATCATGTGTTCAGAGTGTGTGTGTGTGTGTGATTGAATGACGGAACAACGAAATTGTTAGCAATTTATACTGCTTTGTAGTTGTTTTCATTGCCCGGAATTCACACTAGTGGTTCAGATTTAGATTTAGGGTTAAAGGGTCAAGGAACTGACATTGCAAATTGCCTATAGGTTTACGATCGTTGTAAGATTACGCAATGACCAAATCTTTTGATGGGCATGAGTGGGAACCAATCACAACTAAGCAAGGTCTGACCAAGGTGAAGTGGGAGGAATAAAAGTTCCCCCTGAATTTAGGGGGAACTTGCCAAGGTGTACTGGACTGTTCTCAGGCTCTGTTTCCGTACGTGTATATTATGGTGTACTAGTATTATGTGAGCGCGCACGGATCATGTAGAGAACAGTCCAGGCAGTGGACTAGGCAAATACATGCCAAGTAAGGCGTAGTGTTCAGGTGTTAGTGTTCAAGTGTTAGTGATCACATTTCATAAATCATGCAAGTCCGTGCCCGTAACGGACGGCGGCGAGCGCTACGCTCGAGGTCACCAAAGGAGTCGGGCGACGGGCATTGCATTGGGCGTGCACGTCACCCGTGAGATAGGGTACGGCGCGGCGGACAGCTGCAGCAGCATGCACCGCACAAAAAGCACACATCACTGCCATGCCAATGGCTATGGCATACACACACGTATACTCACACGATCTCTTTCCCTAGTAACGCTTACCTGCAAAAAGAACGGCCGTTCGCCAATATTAGGATGATTTACTTCAAGAAAATATGATCCACTGTAGCTATCAAGTGTAGCAAGCAAAGGATTATTTCACTTTACGTTTTTCTTTTCGAACTTTGTAGTAATACCATAAAACATGGTCACCTTTTTCCCGGCCTTTCCGCAGATAATTGAAGCCCAACCTCCAAGTGCTACTGATGCCAATCTATTCTAGTTAATAAAGGACAATAAAATAATTCTAGATTAATGTCTTTGTAAACCAAATTAATATAATATAATACATACATTTCACATTTTATTACATTTAATTAGTATTAGAATACTAGGTTGAAACTAAAGATATCGAATATAAGACAAATGTTAATAAATCTTCATTCAACTGATGAATATTCATTGATGAAATCTGACCTTTGACCAATAAAAGCACTCGTTCGACACACGTGTACAAAACCGCATTACAACCATAGAGATATATACTTAATAAGGCTAGAGTGCGGACTCGTCATACGCGCCCGTTCAAAGCTCTGTGCGCGCATGGAGCGCGGTCCGCCATTACTAAGGAGGGCACAACTTCGAGAAATACCCGGATGTTCCCTTCGAAACTGTGCTACTGATATGCAATGTGAAGCTTCATTTTTTGGGTTGATTTATCGGTTTTCGAGTATGAAACGTTATAATTGTGGTATTTTGCATAATGCATGAACCCTACTCATGCCTCAGTCATGGTATCTGGTGTAGGTCAAGATTAATTACGGATGTTATGGTGAAGCTATTTATATTTCAGTATATCTTCAATTTTTCTTCCTCTTTGTCAATATAAAACTGCGATATTATGACATTAAATATTACTTGGCTTTCAGCCAATCAGAATCAAGCATTTGGGACTTGTATTTGATATTTATGTCATGATATTAAACAAAGTTTTATGCTACAGGGCCAATGCCGGGGGCCAATGTCTTTCTAATTCAGTTATTATGAGAGCCAGGGTTTATTGATTTAAAATGCTTTAAAGGTAATATATTCATTTTATGTTTATGACTATTATAAACAGATTGATACTTATAGATTTGGGATAGAGATGGGTATGTAGATAGCTAGACACATAAATAGATGGATAGATAGATATAATATAGAAGGATAGGTAGATAATGGAAATGCAGATAAAGGACGATACTGAAGATAGGAAGAGGGGGAAGGAAAGAATTATAGGCCTACACATTTATTTTAAAAAATTATGTTATTTACTCATCCAATCATTCATCCATCCATCCAAACATTCTTTTTCTTCTTCTCTCACTCATTTTATATCAAATTCACACCTTATGTCTTTCACCCATTCTCTATAAAATCTCTATTTTTGTCTGAAAGAGTAATTCAATTTTTTACAGTTCACTATAAATATATATGAATATTCTTTAAAAACAGCTGATCATTGATGTAATAAATATTTATTCACACCACTTTTTTTCTCCATAAATAATATTCTCCTTGATACAGTGTATTTCTTATTTTCTTCATCAACCAGTTTTAGAGCATAAACTTATAATTAAATTTGAAGAAAAAAATGAATAAATGAACTTTTTATTACCACACGGCACACGTGTGTTGATATTCTACAGCATAGGCATTTAAGTTTTGACATTTTATCGGACATATATACTGCAATAATACATCACAATTGAAAAGACAAACATTGCAAAAACAACACCTCAGATTTTAGCCCCAAATTTACTGTCACGGATCATAGGCAACACAACCACAACAAATTGATTCGCCACCAAAGACAAGCATTACACATCCCAAAACCACCACAATAACTCCCAAAACATAAATGTCAGGAGGCCAATGTCTATGTGTCAAGATGTCAGTGATAACGAACACTTTATTAACTAGTCTTGGCTCCAAGCGCACGCAGGCGCGTCACATTTACAAATAATACATCGAGTAATAAATGCAAACCAGAAATAGTAATTGAGCATATATATTCCAAGTCACCTGTATTGCTATGAAGAACTATAATTGAAGAGACTTACATCTCAGGATACTGCACTACACTATTCAGTGAAACCTCATAGTAACATGGTCTTTTGACATCATTATTCATCAGGTGTAATAATAAATTTGAAACTGATTACCCTCAAATGTACACAGTAGATACAACAAGCCAAAGAGTGCACAATCTTATGGGTTTACATCTAGTGACATTATTCCATATAATTTTTCTGTTATCAAATCTCTTCAAAAGCAGTTTTCCATTTTGGAACAAAATTCAAACCTATGTACAAAACGATCTATGGGTGTGTATATGGTGTGCATTACACAGGCTTTTCAATTGCCACACATCTGTTAATTCTTCTCGTTTATTAAAAATGGGCTCACTTGATGTGAATTTCTTGCTTTTTATCTTTAATGATGTAAATCACTTGGTTGAGAGCAATCCAGACAATGTTATAAAAAAGGTCTACATGTTTATCTCAGGTTATCCATACTGTACCTGCAGAATCAAAGCACATGTAGAGTGCAAATAATTTGCAAAAATTTGTCGCTGTTTTCACGAAGTGACGGTAGTGAAAAAAAATGCATTCACTTTGCGTTACGATTTTCCTCACTACCGTCACTTCCTGAAAATAGGGACGAATTATAGCAACTGAATCAGATACAGCAGGTACAATCATGAAGCTTATAGAGTAAATATTCAAATACAGTGTACCTCACAACAACTCAAAATTCAAGTACATTTTGTTTAACCCCTAATGTAATCAATTCTTCTAAGTTCCACTTTAGTTTGCCTTCGTGTAAAGTTAACAAACAGAAAATTATGGTTAGGTTGTGCAACTGTCACAATGTGTCCCCAAAATTTTATTTCATTACACAGAACAAAAGTCTCAGATTGTTCTGTTTTTTTAAAAGATTATTGAAAGCTCTCTCCAGTTTTAAACGGCTTCACAGTCAATCATCCAGTAGATAAGCTATGCAGACAAGAGGCAAAATATAAAAGACCGATCTGTCTTTGTAGTTTGTATGAATGAAGTTCTATGTTTTGTTTTGTTTTTCCTGAAAATGCGTTCCCTCCAAAGTTGTGTTGAAGTAGGTCAAGCTGATCCTGGCTAATGAGCTTGCTTTCGTGGACTTCCTGCAAGAGAGTCCTGGTTTTTCCATCTCTCCTGTTTACCTTGTTTCACCACTTTAAGCTGTTTCTTGGCATCTTGCACTTGCTGTCTGGTTATATTCAGTTTCTAATCAACTCAGACAGAAAAAGAATAGTCATGTTCTTTTGTAATGTCATAGGGTTTCTTTGGAGGCACGGGAACACTTTTGGATGTTGTACATGGTTTTGCTGGGAGTCTTGAGCCATGGGTCTGTTTATAGGGAGGATGTCCAGGAAAGACAGTAGGCACAGCTCTAAGAATGAGATGTGGTGTGTAACATCCTTTCCTCTCTTGGGTGTATTCCTGCATTACAATAAAAGCAAATGGAAACAATAATGAGTTTTTTCTCATAACATGACAATTGTTCTACTATTCATGCTATTTCATGTGATTTTTAAGACTGAAACTGAAAGCAGCTTCCAGCCAAATAAATAAAATAATAATGATGTCAGCAAGTCATAAGCAAATTTGATAGAAATAGTGTAGTGTGCGGTGGGATTTTTAGGCTAGCCTAGCCTAGTTGGATAACTCCTGTGATGTGAAATTTGGCAGGCTAGCCTGGCTTAGACCAAAAGCTTCAGTCTCTCTATATCGTCGGTTGTTCTACTGAGACTGCGTCTGGCTCCACTAGACCTCTGATTATATTATGGGGAATGTCAACAAATGTCAGTTTTATTAAAGAAATGACCCATATCAGATGGTTATATCTGTCTAACCTGGCTTTGCCTTTCGGGCTTTAGAAATTAGAGAGTAGAGTTTAGATCTAGATTCTAGATCTAACTTTAGATCTAGAGTCTAGTCTATAGTTAAAATATAGATCTAAAGAAGTTGACATTTGATTTTTATCTTGAAATTAGATAAGATAAAATTAATTGTATCGTTTTATTCTAGACTTTTCTTTAATAGAATCAAGCTCATGGAGTTATATTTCCGAGTTGGACTCTCTGGCTCTTGGAGTTGCGAGCGACTCCAGCGCAGCAGAATTTTCCCATCACCATCCCCAGAACCTTAACCCATGCCTGCCCCAGCCCGGCGGGCGTGGACTGGCGCGCTCCGCTGCTGCAGGAGCTGCGGTGGCTTGTCATGAGACAACCCGGGTACAGACTACAGTCACTGCATAAACTACATTTTTAGCTCTAAAATCTCCTTATTAATCAACATAACATTAAGAAGAACTTACTTGTGAAATATTATGCAGTTCCCTTTCTTTCTTCGGTTCGAACATCCAAATGCAACGCACGAACCTGGCTTCTCCAATTTTTTCCACGAATGTTGTGCACAGTATCTTGTTGGGTCGTTCGTTTTTCTGCCCTCCTTAGTAATGGCGGCCACAGCTCCAGGTCCACACAGCAATTTGAGCGAGTACGCCCTCTAGTGTTATTAAGTATATATCTCTATGATTACAACTGATCACGCCCAACTCATATGGTCGCAACTCCCAGGCCAGGGTCAAAATGACCCGCAAAATGACAATTAATACATCCTATAAATGACTGGAAATTGGAATTGTGCCTTAAAATGGACACATAAACCGCTTAATTAATTTTATTTCTCCACTTCCAAGCCCCCTTATACCTTTAGTAGGAGTTGTGAACGTTCAGACTTTAATATCCTAATTTTGTTCCTTTTTTCTTGATTTTTGCTGTTCAGTTTTATGATTTTTTGCTAGTTTATTTGTTTGTGTAAGTGGTGGCGCTGCCCTCGCCCCTCCTTATTAACATATGTGACCCCCCCCCCCCCCTTTAAATCGCTGCAACCCGCCCCTTCGATCGATGCCCACCGATATGCCTCAGTCGTGCACATTTCAGACTAATATGCATATAACCGCCATCAAACTCAATAGACTTTGGATCCGCCGGATTTTTATTTAATCCTATAGTTTGCCACAGTTTTGATGACAGCTATATAGAAAGCCATGCATGCATGCATGCGTGTTAGATTCCCAGACACAGACACAAAACAAATTTATACACTGACGGTTTCAGCATTCAATGGCTGAATAGTTGTGAAGGTTTATTGCAGAATTAAGTTATATCAACTTTGTCTACAACAAAAACAGCTGCATATTTTTCATACCGGTTGACTATTATACGGACATTAACGGCCCTGACATCATTGTAAGTATTATATACACGTACTTTGGTGAATACAATAGTCTTGGAATTCAATTGAGCAACAATTTTATTCATGCAAGTATATGCCTACTATAGTCAGGTAAACACATGAAGACAAGCAAGTACACATTTTAAACAAGTTTACTGCTATATAGTTAAGCAAAGTATGAAAAGGTCATTATATGGTGAGTCAAGCAAGCATGCACGAATCCCGGCCTTGCCACAGTTATAGTCCTACTATTATATTCAGGTAAGCACGTACAGCTAGCCAAACAAGACTAGTAATAAATTGTTTCATTTATAGCGCTATATCCAATTTATAATTGATCAAAGCACTTCACAAAACAAATAAATCAATGAATTAAAACTCAACAAAAATATGATAGAAAATGTAAATAAGTCAACATGAAGGGAACAGTCCAGTATGTTTTCTATAATGATTTATAAATCCGGCAGGGGAGGGGGCAGTTGCATTTTTCCTATTTATATTAGGATAATAAAGTAATATTACTTTGGTGTAAACTTGTATGGTGTGATATCCTCATTAAGCATGTAAAGTACTTTGGCTCGCCAATGCAATAGCCTATTTGCCAGTGTTCTGACCTCCAGTTTTTTACTATTTAAAATATATTCATATCATTTTTGTTAAATTTCGGTTGGTAGTTCTACCAAAATTAATGTTGAGAACAACTGCCATATAGGAAAATTACATCCCACCCGAATTTGGACATCGTTATCATTTGGGCTATACCTCATCTCATATTGGGCCATACACGTGCATGGTATATGTTGACAGAAAATACACTGAAAGTCTATTTCCAGTGGACCATCAGTATAATGCTGGTAATTAAGTAATATATTTCTTTTTCACTATACTGGCAGACTGTAACTATACATCGTGCCTGTGAGGATAAATTTGATGTGTTGCGAAGAAAGTAACAAAGTTGATTTATTGTTTTTCCAGGCTAGAAGTCCAACATGCAGAAGTATGACCCCAACTGTCCTTTGGCCACAATGGAAGACATCCAGAAGGCCTACAAGGTCGTACAGGAGAGCGCCCTCTGCGTACGAACTCCAATGGCGCACAATGCTCAAGAATGGATGAGACTTGATCTTGCCTGCGACCTGAGTCTGAAGCTGGAAAATACACAGACAACAGGTGGGTTCCGATCACGGATGGCGTAGGGAAGTTTGAATGGTCTCGTACCGATCGTTCCCCGTTATACGTACCAAAATAGGTATGTTCAGAAAATATCTTCTGAACTAGTAAAGGGTAAAATATTCTTAAGATCGCCGAGGCTCAACCTCCATCATCTTGATGGTTTCTCATTTCCTTCACACGATGTATGAGTTTACATTCCATCCATGATAAATTTAAGTTATTACTAAACAAAATTCAAAATTAAAGTACAGGGGGTACATGATTTGTTGTTCAGATACGTTTTTAACGCCTGGGCTAGCAATCGTGCAAAATGTTCGTGGAATTCTTTGAAAAAAATTCAGTTTCACGTTTCTGTCGATGTCCCATTGAACCAAAGTACATTGTATCGTAATTTCAATAACTACCAATAGCTCATGAAAGAAAAATTAACACTATTACAAAGAATTCGAGAATTCAACCTTTCCCCATTTCAAACGTCATGTCCTTCACCTTTTGAAGTGTGCAAACTTTTCAATAACATAATTATTTTTACATTTTTATAATGATAATAAACATGTTATTATTAGGTAATAAGAATATAATTTTCTGGAGGCAATACAATCGTGTATTGGAATTGCCCTGAGGATGATTTTTGAAATATTTTGAGGTTTTGTTAGTTTGTCTCATTTCCTTCCTTGACCAGGGTCATTCAAGGTCAGAGGTCTTGCTAATCAACTGGCTCACATCCCTGAATCCGTGCAACAGGAAGTAATTACCATGTCAGCAGGGAACTATGGGAAGGCCTTCTCCTTTGCTATGCAGCAACGAGGGCTAAAGGCCAGGGTCCTCATGCCAGAAACAGCCCCACGAGTCAGAGAGGAGATCATGAAGGTATGGCGGAATGTTAAAGCATTTTGTCCGCGTTACGCCCGTAGCGTCATTTCGTCATTGCGTCAATTAGCGGCACTAATAAAGAATATATGAAGACAACAATTGGCACCATACGCCAGTGATTCAAAGATGTGTTTGAACCCTACACATTTTGCATTTACTTTATGTTCCATGTCACAAATTGACGCATGCGTCAAGGACAGCCACAAGTCGCTGACGCAGTTTTACGTCAAAACAAGACACAAGATCAAAGTTCAATCCGTATTGGTTCAATGTATAGGCAACCCAGAGAATCGACTGAATCAAGTCATCTCCATCAAACAGAAATACAAGGCCGTGCCGGGTTTTTTTTTTTTTTTTTTTTACGGAAACGTATTTTTTAATATTTGACAAATACATTACTTTCACCTTTTTATCACAGAATAATGGCATACCTGGAAAGACCGAAAACCATTGTGCCCTAAATTTTAGCCCATGATAACATTTTACGTTTACGATACCCTCTAAAGTATTATTTGTTTTTGATTTTTCACTTAACTTATGTTCAGGGTTATGGAACTGAAGTTGAACGCGTGCCAGCCAGAGAGCTCCAGCCTACCGTTGATCGCTACGTAACCAACGAAGGAATGCATTATCTACATCCCTTCGATGATTTCAATTTAATCTGTGGACACGGAAGGTAACTGTCATATCCCATGTCCCTCTTATTCCTTTCATCTCTTTTGCTTCCAATTCACCCTTTTTTTCAGTTTCCCCTATTTTTCAACATTCGATCGGGACTCCACTGCTACACCAAAAACTGTGATAATATCTTGTCTAAATGTGTCTTAGTGGTAAAAAGTTGGATCCTTATAAGCTCTGAATTAGAAATAATCTCCTTCTGAGAAGAAAAAAATGTGATAACTCTAAATAATTGATCCAAGTTAATGCCCTTCTCATAATTTATGTGGCCTTCGGCAGGCACTTTATGAAGTAGCACAGCTCCTAAAACGAATTTCCTTTATTCTACTGAAGGTTTTCATTATTTTCCAATCATTTCAGCACAGGTTTAGAGATTCTTGAAGAGGTGCCAGATCCTGATGTGATCGTCGTATGCTGTGGGGGAGGAGGTTTACTGGCTGGAATAGCCGCTGCTGTAAAACTTTCAGGGAAATCTCATACAAAGATCTATGGGGTGGAACCCGAACAAGGTATTAAAACAGACTCATGATTTGAACGTCATTTTTGTCCCACTATTACGCAACGTTTCTGTTGAGGTGTGAAGCGCACCTGCATGTTTGTATAATAATGTTAAAAAATTGAAAGATTTCGAACACCATTTTTGTTTCTAACAAATCGAGTGGGCATGTCGCTTTCTATGAAGGGACTCTAGGCCTAGGTATTTTAGTGTGGTTGCTCCCGTTTGGAAAGGTGCCCGAAACATCATGTTTTTGTAATGATTATTTGTAGACAAACATCCGTTAATTAATTTGAATAATTAGTTAAATAACTGAGTGGTTCATTCTAGATTTTTAGGAGACATTTAAAGGTAATACAAAGTTTTGGTATGGGGTCATGAATTTGGTTCAAATTAAACATTATTATTGGAAGAATAATGCGATCCTACAATATTTATTGATCATTGTCGCGGTTGAAATCTAGTCTACAGCTATGAAATTATAGATAATAAACTCCTTGTGTTGTACAGCTCCCTCTCAAGGTCAAGATATTAATTAAGCTATAAAACAATTTTTCTTGACTAAAACCAACCGATTAGCTTTTCCCGTTTGAAAATTATATATCACAACTACATATTCTGAGATTTTTATGGTCGCACCTACTGTAGTACGGTCGTAGGTGCTATTTGAAATTAATCAAAATTTACCGGGAGCACCCGTAAATTTTTATATCCATTTTCTAGAGCTTATAAAACATTCACAGGGACATCCAAATATATCAAAATTGTAAAGAATCACTATCGACCCAATTTTCAAAATTTCCCAAAACTTTGTATTACCTTTAATGTAAATATTTCTGCATGTGTTTTTCTCCTTTCCCTTGTAATAATTGTTGGTCTTTTTTCCCCTAGTAGGAGAAGGGACGGCAAATTCGGACCTATATAGGCTGCCTCTGGGATCCACCTAAATGATTTGAAAATGTTTTTTTATTCTCTTCACCAGCTTGTTGCATGTACAAAAGCAAACAGTTAGGGAAACCAGCACAAGATCCGAATGTACGCTCTATCGCCTCAGGACTATCCCCTCCGTTTGCAGGTAAGTCTTTACCGCTTCTTCCTTGTGTCATTTTGTGTGGCCATTTGGGGTTTAAGCATCGGTGGTTTTCAGTTTTCACAATGAACCTGGGGAAACCGTTTCATCCCATCGGTCCTACAAACCATTCCTCATAGATAACGCATACCCTTGGGGTTATAGGGTAACGGTTAGAGTTAAGGTCAGTTATAGGTTTAGGGTAAGTCATGCCTTTCACGCGGTAGGTCAGTTTAGGACTATAGTAGGACCATTCGTGTGTCAGGCAAATTTCAAATGAACCTTCTCGGGCTTTGAATAATCTAATTAACGCCGACTATTTTCTGAAGTAAAAATAAAAGATAAATAATTATTGTTTACCCAAGGAACCCTCATCAGCATCAATGCTGTTCTTCTTGCAGATCCTTCGATCTTTATTACACAGGAATTGCCAGGTACCCGCGGAAAGTGGCAATTGTGGTTTAAAGTCTTGCAAAATTAGGACATGGGTACCGGGCTGTGATTCGAACCCTCGACCCTTGGATTGAGTACCAAGTGAATTAACCACTATACCACGACACCTCCACGTACCTAAGTCAATATTGGCTGTTTATTGTTTTCTTCTAAAAAATAGGTTCGAATGCATTTCGCCACGTTGAAGAATACGTAGAAGATATTCTCCTACTCAGTGAGGAAGAAATCATCGCGGCGGTCTCTCGTCTCTATCACGCCGGGTTGGTGGTGGAGCCAGCGGGGGCTGCAGCCTTTGGAGCGGTTCTTTTCGGTAAGGTGCCCGACATCGAGGGCAAGAAGGTGGTGGTGGTGATCACTGGCGGGAATGTCTCGCCTCAAGAACTCTGCGATATCCTCAAGACCCCGTCGTGATGTGGACCTCAAGAGACACTCATAAGAAATCGGAATTTCCCGTATTGTGATTACATTTTCAGTCGTTCCAACACACATCTAAGGTGGATTTTTCATTTACCGAAAATAATTGACCAATTTTACTTGTATTATGATCATGTTAAAAATTACGAGAGTGGCACGACGGTACGGACAACCCGAAAACGTCAAGCCTCTGCTACATAATGTCATACAAATGTATTTCATATTATGTTGAGAAAATGTATGTATAAAACGGGTAACTATATTGTGGTTAACGTGTATATTCAGTTGCAATGTGCCGAAATAAAGTATGATTTCTTTCATTGTGTTGTTTATTTGCGTTTTTTTTTTTCTTCTTTCAATTAAAAAAAAATGAAAGGATTCACACTTGGGCTTTTTGTTTTCATTCTTCTTCTATACAGAAAATGCACAAGGGCTATATATTTTTAGTTTATCTTCAATATCCCTACGGAAACTGGATGTTCAACCTAATACATTGTTTTAATTCATTTACATGTACATTGTACATTCAATCATCCTCTAAATTATTCTCTCTCGTTGCCCAGTCCCTTCCAATATTTTGTTATACCGAGACAATCCATGACCTACGTCAACATACAAGAACAAATAACATCTTTAGAAAATATTGATTTTATAGTGAAAGTCATGTTTATTTCACATCAAATTCAGAAATGCGAAAGAGGTTAGTTTCTTTAAAAATATTATTAGGATAAAGACTTTCCTCCACACCTCTAACATAAATGTAATAATGTTAAAAAGCCACATGAAAAGACATGTCATGAGTCTTCAAAATGGTTACGACAGGACTATTACAGTCTAATTTTACAAAGATCAACTTTGAATAAGATCTTTTAAAATATTTGTGACTTCCAATTATTTGTTTTTAATGTAAAAACCTTTTCTAGTGTCAGCAAACATCCCATCAAATATACTTAAAATCTGAGTGAATTTTTCCTGATCTTTCTTTGAAATAAAAAGGCAAGGATATTTCTTGCAGCCATTTAAAGGATCCTAATACCAAAATTCTAAGACCTGGGGGGGGGGGGGGGTGTTTCACAAAGATTTTAAGTTGAACTTATCTCTAAGTTGGACTGAAAAGTTATGGAAAGCCGTTAGCATCTTTGAAAACATTTAGTAAAAGTTATTTTAAAAGGCATAAAATGTTGATCCAAATAATTCATATTTTCAAGGAGATTTCATGTTCTCGATGTTGAATTTATGAAAAGTCTAAAATCCTTGAATTTCTGCTTTTGAATATTTTTTTTTAAGGCTACAAATGGCTGCATATAATTTTTAAGTCCAACTTAGAGTTAAGTTCGACTTAGGATCTTTGTGAAACACCCCCACGGGGATGTACAATATGGTCATAATTAAAAACATGATTATTGGAAATAAATATCACACGATATCAGCAACACTGCATGCTAGAAGGGGACGAATGAAAAATAAAACTGCAAAAACTCTACCATACCTTTATACAAAGCATACCTATTAACAATATTATACAACATATGAATAAAAACTCTCTCTTTATTTACAAGGATATGTTAAAAATATATTTAGGCATTATGATGTTGAAGGTTTCCTATAAAAATAGCTTGAAACATTGAACCAGATTATGTACATGTATAAAAGTTAACTGTATTCTTATAAAACATTACAGTAGTTCTTACGGTTATGGGAATGTTTTTTTCAAAAAAGGAAAATAATAATAATATGAGTAAGAATTAGTCACAATTCTGTATTATTTCTTGGTGACTATGCCTAAAAATTATTTGGGTTGATATTAAAAAGAAAGCTAAACAATGGATAAAATGTTATGTTTTCTCAACATAACAAAATGAAAGGAATATGATCAATAATGTGGTCCAAACAGATGGCTAAATACATTTTACATGTGCTACTGATTAAAAATGAGAAAATGAGATAACCTTAAGATGAGAAAATAGATGAGAAAATAGATAACATAGAAAGAAAGAACAAGAAATTAAGCCACCAAAATGGGGCAAAGATATAATGAAAATGTACATTAATAGATGACTTTAGATGGACGATTCTTCCATGTAATTGCACAATGCCAATTTTATGGATGGAAAGTGTGAAACAAACAAATATAGTATTAGGGTAAAATCTTTCAGATAACCGTATGACAATATTAAAAGGCAATAATGTTAAAATATATATAACTTGTACCTACAAATGAACTTGAATCTTATAAAATCCCCAAAACCTGGAGTACATATGCATCTGATATGTAACACATTATAGTTAAACTACAATTAATACCACAATGGAAGCATTTGGTTATGAAAAAATGTTTAAAAACAGAGTTCTACGTATATATAAAAATAAATTTCTAGTATGAAGTACGCATGGACAGGATTTTGCAGCAATATAGAAAAAAGGCCACATATTTAAATTTAAATATACATGAAGGCATCATGAATGAACTGTCAAGAGTCTTATTTTGACCTTCGTGAAACTTTATGGAACCAATCTCCATAATATTTTTTTGTATATACTCTTCAAAAAGAGAGTTGGGGCACTGAAACTTTCTGAAAGACAAATTTTTCTTCAATTTATGTTCATCAAATGGCATCTTGCTGTAAACATATACTTACAGTTAACTAAATTATTCATACCCATTGTTAATTTGATGTTTTTCGTGAATTTTGTCATTCAAGATTGAACGGTGAATTGGTTGAATAAGAGCCTTTCTTTAATACTTTTTGATGAAAGCTTTAACATGTTATGTGCTTTAAAAAAAAATCTTATACTTAAGAAATTACAAAACCTGGTAAGGATATGAATAATTTAGATGGTAACTGTATATTCACTTCAATTAGATAGTGACAATTATACCCATCTTTACTCTATTGGTCTCAATTTACAAAGGTAATTGACAAATTTGGAAAATCCTTCAGGTTAAAAATGTAAGCATTAAGGCTTGTTTAAAAATGGCGCGGTAAACCCCTGCAGAAAAAATCTGCTGCAGTTTTTACTAAAATTGTAAATGAATGGCGACTGCATGCAACTAAGGGCTTTTGCATAGTAACTAAGCTCTGAGTAATTGCATGCCCATTGAACACGAGAACAGGCATATTGAGCTTGAATCCATGGTTTTAAGATAAAACTTTGGAATGAATTCGGCACCGCCAAGCCGAAACGATGCATATAATATGTTACAACGAAAGGGAATGTTTGAGACATAAATATTGAACCTCCTTACAACATTATATTCAGTAGAATACATTAGCACACTGCATGTAAACATTCTAGGTGTAACAAGGCTTCTGACAATCTATGTAAACAAATACTGTCTTCAGTACTTTAACATTTATCAAGACTCTAATGGCTTTCAATATTAAGATATTGATTAAGAACAATGTCCTTATAATAGTAATTCTTAAGATTTTCTGATTCAATCAACTGGTATATTTTGTCTATCTTACAAAATGTATAAGTTTACCTGACGCATGATGTAAATACAAGGCGGCAAGAATATACATTTGTACTGGGCAGACCTTTTTAATCTTTTAACAAGGGTCTAAGAATACTGATAAATACATGACGGTGTCAATATAAATGACGTGAAGAGACAAGCCATCCCTTGAAAAAAAGAAGATTTTATCCATCAAATCAGGAGCATGAGCAGAAACCAAGACTTTGCGCAACATTGTGTGCCATACATATAAATGGCATCTGAGTTCTCATCGGTGTATTACACATAACACATTTGGTACTTATACCATGGAGCTCTTATAGCTCCAAGCTAATACCAAGAGTAACAGACTTTAGAATAGGAGTAGTTTTTCCCAAACAAGAGTACTAACGGGGGAAATAAATATACCTTTATAAAAAGAAATTGCAATCAAATACTTTCACGCTATTGTAACTGACAGCGATTTTCAGGGCAAGAACATTTTGCATAGTACAGTGTACAAAAATTAATTGTTATGTCAATTGTGATTAGATTATTTTGCCGCATTAACATTTCACAAAAGTTTAATAGCCAGTTGCAAAATATGAGAACATTGTGTGTGCACAAAAAAAATTCTGCCTTTACAGTATTGATGCACATTTTCAGCAAACAGAAGTGCTCAGGTCTTCCTAAGCATTGTCCTTGGGAAATTGCTAGGCCAGTTTACACTTACTGGAAAATTGCTAGGCCAGTTTACACTTACTGGAAAATTGCTAGGCCAGTTTACACCTACTGGAAAATTGCTAGGCCAGTTTCACTTACTGGAAAATTGCTAGGCCAGTTTACACTTACTGGAAAATTGCTAGGCCAGTTTACACTTACTGGAAAATTGCTAGGCCAGTTTACACTTACTGGAAAATTGCTAGGCCAGTTTACACTTACTGGAAAATTACGGAGTTAATTTTGTGGTGAGAATGCTGAATGGCGTAGCAGCTAAAAATCTTCATCACCTGAAAAATACTTCCCGCTGAATTTCTGAAACCCGATGAAGATGGTCCCGCTCTCGTCGATCTTGGTGGGAAAGGTCACCGAGCTGACTTCTTTGCGACCTTTGGGGGATTTGACCTCTCCAGAGGTCAGGTCAATGGACCACTTATGCCAGGGACATTTGACGCAGATGGACATATCCGGTAAAACCTCTATATCACCCATGTGTAGAGGGCCGCCTAGGAAATCAAAATTCATAGGTAAAAAGAGATATAAAGAAATTTAAATGGAAATCCAACCTTCAGATCGAACTGCTTTAAAAGAAAGCACAAAGATCAGAGAAGCAAACTGGTGAGATATTAAATGAAACAGGACAAAGAATAAGAAAGTTATGATTTTTTTAAAGTTGTAAACACTATACTTATTGGAACTTTGGTTGAATAAGTAAAGTGTCACAGTTGTGAAGTGCCAGACAATTTTCCTATTTGTTCAAACACCCAAAATGACTAAGAATTAATTTTTTACAAAATGTATGACTCAGAAGGTTCTGTTCTATTTAGAGGACCTATAATAATATACTATCCATAATATATTTTGAGTAGTGCCCCAAAGAAGAAGGCACTTGGGAGAAAATCAAAATTGTATATTATTTTTGTACACAACAAAAAGAAGTGTTGTCCATGACTACATCACCATCAGCTGACAAAATTGCCTATTTGAATTTCGCATAGCTATTGTGTTCAGACTGTTGTCATATTTCAAATACCCTCTCATTATTTGTCTGATGTATTTCAAATTTTCGCCATCCTGTGTTTCTTCTGCTTTTACAGAAACAAATTTATTATGAAGATTGGATTACCCTTTAAAGGCCCACTGGACTACTTGTAGCTACTTGATCCCTCTATATAGAAAACTTCCCCAATCGGTGCCTGTTGGTCCCCCATGATCCTCTTTTTCTTATGTTAATTGAGAGCTGAGTTGATGGGATAGCCACCTGTCAATTGACCTTGCTGGGTGGTCTAATCCCTTATGACCGAACTAGTACAGACGGTCTTTAAATTAAAACAAAATTCTAAGATAACAAGAGAAGCATAAACATGTACAAGCAAGCTGATAGGAATTAGATAGACGAATAAGATAGACATAATAGCCAGGTTACTCAAGACACTGCAAATGTACATCACATTTCTCACCTAGATGGGGGCATTTCTCTTTAATGGCGAAGAGCAGTTCCTTGTAGCGGAAGAGAGCGATACCCTCATCGTTGAGCTGCACCAGGCTCCCTGTAGGCATGCTGTTAGATCGTCTCAGCTGACGACCGCTAACACGATGACTCTCCCATTTCTGGTCGGGGTTGGACCAATCGTAGAGGTCTGCAGAGGGACAGTAGGAAGAAAGATGACTAATCTGTGAAACCAAGTTTACTAGCAGTGGTAAAACATGAACCTGTTTGTGGTATTAAGCAGTGGGATATTTACAAAAGACTACATAAACATACAGACATTGTCTTTCACAATCAAAGCTGACGCCCGCTTACCCGATGACTCTTCCATTTCTGGACGGGGTTGGACCAATCGTAGAGGTCTGCGGAGGGAGAGTAGGAGGAAGGATATTCTATGACTTAATGTGGTCTTTGTAGACAGGCGGTCACTAAAGCAGGTTTGACTGCAGTTGTAAGAAAATAAACCTCCCTTCATTCATTCAATGATGGGTTATTAAAATACTTACATTGCAGCAGAGCCGAATGGCGAAAATTTACAATATCATAATGACAATTGATAAAATATATACATATATATACGAGGAAACAGAAGCTGTCCTAACATAGACATAGAGGGTAGAGAAATAAAGATGAAATGAAAGAGTTAAAGAAGGAGGATGGTATAGAGGGAAGAAAGAGAGAGGGAGGGGGAGAAGAGTAAGGAACACAAAGAAAATGGATACAGTTATTCATCATGATAGAATAGATTACACTACCTTCACATAAATATTCTTATACTGTTATAAAGATCTCAGTTAATTTTGTTCTTAAAATACATTGGGACATTTTGAAAGTGCTACATAAACATACAGGCTTTTCTTTGATGCTCACAATCAAAGGAGTTGACTATTATGTGATAAGTACTGTATACAAGAATTTCTCAATTATGATATACTAATTTTGATGTTTTTTGTTAATCTTCTGTCGTACTATTTCTTTTCACTTCTTTTTTCTTTCTTCTTTTAAATAGGTTTGGTATTATCTCCTCATATGTTTCCTTTCTTTGCTACTCCATCACCCTTTTTAAGTTTCATTTTATAATTTTTGTTTAAATCTAGTTTTTTATAATTTAGTTATTTCATTTTGTTTACTTCCAGTTTTACTTCTTTCATTTCTAGTTTACTTGCATTTGCTTCTCTAAAGTTTGGAATTCTGAGTTTCAACTTCCATGGCCTTCTTTTAGTCTTGTTTCTCCACCTTAATTTTATTCTTTACATATTTCATCTCGTTGTCTTGCTCTGTTTCTCAAATTGCTTCTTCTAGTTTTTTTCTTGTCTTGATTCATGTACAGTATTACTATTACAACACTCTCTTACACTATTACTCAGTGCATTGTTGTTGTTGGTAATAGTTTAATGGCATTCATTCAGTATTAATTAATATATACAGTTGTACGTCATATCTTCATTTTTATTTTTTATAAGAAAATCAGTGCATTCAAACATGCATTGTGAAAATGCCAAAAAAGAATGACACTATGACAGAATCTCTTTAAACATAGAATTAGAATAAACATCTACCAAAACTAGATATACAAAATAGACCTAGATGATAGATACTATCTAGACCTAGATCTAGTTCTAAATTAGATCTAATATTTAATTTAGTTTAACAAATTTTTGCAGAATGCAGAAAATGCAATTCATTTTGGCAAATTGAGTCAGAATTTGGGGGACTAAAAAAAAAATCTTATATTAAATAATTGTTGCTGTGGATATGTTTAAGTTGCGTTTTCGTTTGTATCTTATATTTTAGTCTATATTGCCTTAGATCTATTCAGTTATTGCTTGGATTTACAGTTGTTTCATTGAAACAGCAGTTTCTTTAATCATTTTTCTTGATCTGTTTTTTAGATGTTGTTTGAAACTTGAAGACACCGTAACATGAGTTTTTTTGCAGACACATTACGTTCCAGAGAAAGTCAAAGTACGAGTATTCCGGTGGGACGGAAAGTCCCCAAATTTGTCCTTTTACGTAGAGTTTACCGCCGCCCATAGAGTAAGTTTAAATCATGAAATACTCAATACTTATTTATTGAAGGATAAAAATGTGTAGATTAATTCAATGTTGAGATATAAACTGTGCAAGATTTTGTGTCAACGTGTCAGATTAATTTGGTATGTGCGTACAGTTTCAAATAGGGCATTGTGCGCACTGTTAAGACTTTACGTCTATCGGTCAAGTGAAAGTTGTTGTTTATTTCGAAAAGCCGTAAATTCAGTGGAAATTGTAATTTAACGCAGAGACACAAAGTATTGCACAGATATAGTTAGAAGTGAGTGTAAATGGAGTGAGATATTTGATTATAGCTTATTTACATAAAAATGATGAAAACCAAGATTGGTTTTAAGAGTAAGAGTTAATTTCACCATGCATGAAATCTGGCTTGCAAAAAGTAGGTCACTGCTATTAGGGTCATTCACAAAGTGAAGTGTCTAGGACCTGATATTTAGTTTGTAAAAATACTGCATGCATATTGAACTTTGGTTGCTCATATGAACAAAGAACTTGGTTTATTTGGAGAAAGTAAACATGTACGTATAACAGGCAATTTATGCAAGTGTATGAATTAAAAGGTTTAGTCTTGGCAAATTAAAGAATGCCATGCTATTTGTATAAATTCATAAAAGAAAACACTTAATGAGTGCGCATAAATTGTATGCAAATTTCTAAAGAATAATTTGGTCATTTGGTTGTATCAAAAGGAAAGGAGATTTACAAGTTTGATAAATTCTCATTTTGGCTGAGTTTGAAAATCAGCAACAGTTATTTAGCAAGGTGGATTGAATGCAAAGGAAGTCATGTTTGCTTCTGCGCATAATTATTTAGGTCAGTTGTGAAAGTCACTTTGACAGGTGTATGTGACAAGCTATTGGATTAAGGCGTTGCATGTATATGCACATGCTTGTGCTCTGAACATCATGGAGTTAATTTTGGGTTGAGATTTTTGGCAAGACATACAGTGAACCATTCAATGAAATATCTTGTGTGTAACTCTATGACTGAATATCTGAATGCTAACACCGGATTTTCTATCTGTATCTTCTTTTTGATTACAGATTGAATAAAACAGTTATGCAATTTACAAGCGGCGTCCGGTCTCATTTATCGAATGATCCATCAATTCAATTCTTGAAGTAACCAGGGGTCACCGCAGAGCAGAGAGTTCCTGATCCATTCAAGATGACAGATACAAAATCCCTGAAGCTAAGACGTCGAGGAAAAAAGGGACGTTTTACAAGATACAGCAACACCCTTTCCACAATTATAGAAGCCAGCAGACCAGAAACAGAAGTAAAGGAAGCACTTGAACACTTCCAATCAGCGTTTGAAGAAGTACAGACGGCACACGAGGAGTTTGCTGAGCAGATAGTTGATGATGCAGAATTTGAAATCGAAGAACGATGGATGAACGAAATCCATAGTGAGTTCAGCAGGCTAAAGATTGAATGTAAGCAGTACTTACACCGAGTAGAGCCTCAGGAAACATCAACACCGCCCCCCTCCAGTTCAACATCAGCACCGCCCCCCTCCAGTTCAGCATCAGCACCTTCATCATCAGGTACGTCGTCTTTCAAGTTAGAGAAGTTGAAACTTCCAAAGTTCAAGGGAGATGTTCGAGAATATAACATTTTTAAGACAGACTTCGTGCATCTTTCCAGTATCTACACAGATAGAGATGCTGTCACTCTACTGAGAAGCTGTTTAGAGGGAAAGCCAGCAGAAATGTTGAGAGGAGTCAGTGACTATAAGGCTGCATGGAAGTTCCTTGATGCAATTTATGGAAGTCACCGGTTCTTAGCTGATGCTGTGCTTAATGACATCAATACATTCAGAGCATTGAGAGAAGGAGAGGATGGTCGGTTTTGCGAGTTGACACAGCTTGTCCTCCGGAGTCACAACACTATGAAAGATGTTGGACACGAAGCAGATATGGACAATCCCCAAGTGCTAGCAACGATAGAAAAAAAGCTGCACATTGAAGACAAGAAGGTTTGGTTCCGTCATCTAAACACGAAGGACTCTGAAGCATCCGTATCCATGCTCATAGATTGGATGACAGGGGAAATGACTGCAAGAATCAGAGCTACAGCCCCGATCAGAGCAGCAAAGACAAGTCAGCAAATACATCATATCAAGACTGAAGAGAGAGATACAACAAGGCCAGATACAACCAGGCAAGACACAACCTTCCGTACCAAACTTCCGCCAAAGTGTTGGATCTGCCAAACAGATACCCATTGGGTTGATCAGTGTCAGAAGCTCATTACTATGACACAACCAGAGAGGCTTAAGCTAATGAAGGAGAATAAAGCCTGCTTCAGTTGCTTGAAGAAAGCAGGCAAGGACCACAGAATGAGTAACTGTAGAAGGAAAAGGCAGTGCAGTGAAGGTCAGTGTAGATATTTTCATCATCCCCTTCTACACTTGGACGAAAGGAGTAGCAGTGTAACTGTAGCATCCAACATTGCAGTTGCGTCCAATTATGCAGAGAGAGAAGCAATGCTGCCAGTTCTTGAAGCAGAGATAATGGGGCAGAAGGGTTCCAGTAAGGTGAAGGGGAATGTCTTGATAGACTCAGGATCTCAAGTCAGTGTTATCAAGCAGTCCGTGGCAGATAAACTGAATCTTCAGGGTACTAAAACTGCTATAACAATCAAGAAGATAGGCGGACAGGAAGAGACTGTAGAAACCCATGTCTACAAAGTTCCAGTCAAAGCTGTAGATGGTAATTCGCCAACTTACATGATACGAGCAGTAGCTCTACCCTTCATAAGTGATGTGGATGAAGTGGACGTTAAAGAAATAGCAGAAGTACTGAAAATCGATCATCAAAGTATTCATCGCAGAGGTGGAGATATCGACCTGTTGATTGGCATAGATCATCCTACCCTTCACACAGGTCGAACACGACAAGCAGAAAAGTTAGTTGCGAGAAAGTCCCCAATAGGTTGGGTAGTGTTTGGGCCTAATCAATCCTCATCTGCTACTAGCAGGGTCCTCCATGTCCAGTTAGCATCACCAGTGGACCTACCTGTATCAGACTTCTGTAACATCGAAAGGAAAGATAGGTGTCTAACACCACCAACAGCAGAGCAGAAACCTACGTTGTGTGTTTTCTCAGAAGCGTCAGAAAGCGTATATGGAACATGTGCTTATTTGAGATGGCAGCTCACGAACGGACAGTTTCAAACCAAATTCGTCACAGCTAAGTCGAGAGGAGCTCCCTTGAAAAGGCTCACGATACCAAGACTAGAGCTACAAGCATCAGTAATGGCAACCAGACTAAGTGCGCCGATCAAGAGAGAGCTGAAGTTGGATTTGGAAAGGACAATATATTTTGTCGACAGCATGATCGCATTATCGTGGATCAGAAGTCAAGCCAGAAACTTCAAGCCGTTTGTTTCAGCCAGAATAGGGGAGATTCAAACTAACTCAGATCCACAACAGTGGAAGCACGTGCCTGACCCGTTGAACCCAGCAGATGACATTTCAAGGGGTATAACCATTGATAAGCATGAAGGTAGATTGAAGAGTGGGCCAGAATTCATCTGCTTACCCGAGGAACAGTGGCCTGAAGAAAGAGTTCAACCGGATCCAGTCGAGATCGACGAAGAGAAACGCAGCATCAAGAGAGTCCTCCACATAACTGAAGCGGAGGTAATAGATTGTTCAAGATTCTCAAGCTGGAGGAGACTTGTACGGGTAACGGCCTACATACTGAGATTTGTTCGCCAATTGAAGTCCAGAGTTCGGAAGAAGCAGGATGAAGCTACAGCAACCGACACATCGTTGACGCCAAATGAGCTTGATGATGCCGAGACCCAATGGATTCAACACGCTCAGAAATCGTTACGCGAGAGATTGAAGTCTGTGGATCTGAAATCACCGAGTCCGTTCATAGAGAAGGAAGTAGTCCGTGTAGGAGGGAGAGTCGACAAAGGTTCAATGTCATATGAAGATAAGCACCCCATTCTCCTACCGCGTAACCAACTAATCTGCTTTCTTATCACGTGTCATTTCCATGACAAGGGTCATGATGGAGTAGCGTCGATAGTGGCTAAAGTCAGAAGGAGATATTGGATCATAAGGGGCATAGGTTAGCTAAAACCATCAAATACAGGTGTGTTAAGTGTCGATCTATTGAGCACAAGATCGAAAGTCAGAAGATGGCAGATTTGCCTCCAGAGAGAGTGGCCCCATTTACCCCACCGTTTCATTATTGTTCATGTGATTATTTTGGACCAATTAATGTAAAGATTAGCAGGAACAAAACCGCAAAGCATTACGGGGTAATATTTACATGTCTCAATACACGAGCTGTGCATTTAGAGTTGGCCGTCGATTGTTCAACTTCAGAGTTCCTACAAGTGTTTCGCAGATTTTTCGCGATTAGAGGACAACCAGCCCGTATGTTTAGCGATAATGGTACACAGTTTGTAGGCGCAGAAAGAGAACTGCGAGAAATGGTGAAAGGTTGGAACGATCAGGAGTTGAAGGATTTCTGCGCTGAACGTGGAACTGAGTGGAGATTCATAACGCCTCAAGCGCCTCATCAGAACGGCACCGCAGAGTCGCTTGTTAAAAGTTGTAAAATCGCATTGAAAAAAGCGATAGGAAGTCAAGTGTTGACACCGTTTGAACTCCACACATGCCTACAAGAAGTCGCAAACTTGGTCAATCAACGACCAATAGGAAGATCGCCCAATGACCCAGACGACGGTGCGTACTTATGTCCGAATGACATGTTGTTGGGAAGGTCTTCTTCTAAGATACCTCAGGGTCCTTTCAAAGAAACTAAGAATCCTAATCATAGGGTAGAATTTGTTCAACGTATTGTGAATGAATTTTGGAAGATATGGAATAGAGATGTGTTCCCATTGTTAGTTCCGCGACGTAAATGGAACACAGAGAAACGAAATGTACGAGTTGATGACGTAGTCATGGTAGCTGACCATAACGCGGTCAGGGGCAAGTGGACAATAGGCAGAATTGTTCATGTCTATCCTGGGTCAGATGGGAAAATTAGGAATGTGAAAGTGAAAACTGTAAGCACTAAGCTTAACAGACCAATAACTAAAATAGTGGTCATTTATCCATCTGAGGGATATGAAGTTTGAGTGTGATGTAGGTTAAAAGATAAGGACTATAATTGCCCTCATCTGGGCGGGGAGTGTGTTTCATTGAAACAGCAGTTTCTTTAATCATTTTTCTTGATCTGTTTTTTAGATGTTGTTTGAAACTTGAAGACACCGTAACATGAGTTTTTTTGCAGACACATTACGTTCCAGAGAAAGTCAAAGTACGAGTATTCCGGTGGGACGGAAAGTCCCCAAATTTGTCCTTTTACGTAGAGTTTACCGCCGCCCATAGAGTAAGTTTAAATCATGAAATACTCAATACTTATTTATTGAAGGATAAAAATGTGTAGATTAATTCAATGTTGAGATATAAACTGTGCAAGATTTTGTGTCAACGTGTCAGATTAATTTGGTATGTGCGTACAGTTTCAAATAGGGCATTGTGCGCACTGTTAAGACTTTACGTCTATCGGTCAAGTGAAAGTTGTTGTTTATTTCGAAAAGCCGTAAATTCAGTGGAAATTGTAATTTAACGTAGAGACACAAAGTATTGCACAGATATAGTTAGAAGTGAGTGTAAATGGAGTGAGATATTTGATTATAGCTTATTTACATAAAAATGATGAAAACCAAGATTGGTTTTAAGAGTAAGAGTTAATTTCACCATGCATGAAATCTGGCTTGCAAAAAGTAGGTCACTGCTATTAGGGTCATTCACAAAGTGAAGTGTCTAGGACCTGATATTTAGTTTGTAAAAATACTGCATGCATATTGAACTTTGGTTGCTCATATGAACAAAGAACTTGGTTTATTTGGAGAAAGTAAACATGTACGTATAACAGGCAATTTATGCAAGTGTATGAATTAAAAGGTTTAGTCTTGGCAAATTAAAGAATGCCATGCTATTTGTATAAATTCATAAAAGAAAACACTTAATGAGTGCGCATAAATTGTATGCAAATTTCTAAAGAATAATTTGGTCATTTGGTTGTATCAAAAGGAAAGGAGATTTACAAGTTTGATAAATTCTCATTTTGGCTGAGTTTGAAAATCAGCAACAGTTATTTAGCAAGGTGGATTGAATGCAAAGGAAGTCATGTTTGCTTCTGCGCATAATTATTTAGGTCAGTTGTGAAAGTCACTTTGACAGGTGTATGTGACAAGCTATTGGATTAAGGCGTTGCATGTATATGCACATGCTTGTGCTCTGAACATCATGGAGTTAATTTTGGGTTGAGATTTTTGGCAAGACATACAGTGAACCATTCAATGAAATATCTTGTGTGTAACTCTATGACTGAATATCTGAATGCTAACACCGGATTTTCTATCTGTATCTTCTTTTTGATTACAGATTGAATAAAACAGTTATGCAATTTACAAGCGGCGTCCGGTCTCATTTATCGAATGATCCAACAGTCAACACCATCACAACAAACACAGAACTCAATACATCGTACACCAGTAAAAACTCTGCGATCCATGCATTGTACGCAATATCGGCGTATAAACGGGACCATTTAAAGACAAACAAGTGAATAACAGTACAAAATACACATAACTCTTTTCCAACATACCTTCGAATTTTACGGAGGTCACACGAAAGTACAATCTACCGTCGTTTTCGCACATGAAACTCTGTTTTTCCGGATCCACAAGTGTGCCAAGTTTCATCAGCTTCTCCAGAAACCGCTCCTGTGGTGATGAACTCAATGATCCAGGCATTTTCTTCGCTAATATACGTCAATGCAACGTTAATGGTAAGATAAGAATCGAGAAACGGCTGTACAAAAGACAAACAGTTAGCAACTCGATGCAATCATGCATGCATGCATACAGTTTACTTCACCACAAAAATAATAGGTGAAAAAAATCCGGAATTAAAAAAAATTGTTATCCATGTATTTACAAAAAGCACCATACTCAGTCCTGTTACTCTTTAGGCGGTTCACGAACATAATGATCCAAAGAAGCTTTTCCATCTCATAATAAGAAGGAGATTCTTAGAAGCTCACAACCGGCAATTGGTCTTTACAAAAAACTTAAGTGGCACAAAATCAGAACAAAGTGAGCAAAAAAAAGGCATACAAAAGGTGTGGCTGCGCCTGATACGCACAAACATTAGGCCTTAAGTTAAAATTGTAGTTGCGGGTACATTTTAGCTACCGGAGCAAGTACAGATCCGGGGTCTTAAAAGAAGAATCACTTTAGCCTAATCCGCGGATCAAACCGCCCCGCTGAGATGAGATTAGGCTTATTTGGAGTGTGCGGCGCCATGGTAACGCCTTTTCATTTTTTTTTTATTAGGTCTACTAATGTTAATCCTTAATGTTCAACACGAATTACAACATCAGAACATGCCGCTGATCTTATTTAGTTACTGGAAAACAAAACATGCAAACCCATCACACGCTCCCGGTGGGGTCACTCCCCTGCAAAGAGTGACACGTATGACCGTTACCACCAATGCATATAACCCCCTTTTGCGGTCAATTTCAAGGACATTTTGTGAAATTTAACCCCCTTTTTTACGTCAAAACAAGGACAAAATCGTACTTTGGAATACCCCTATTTATAAGATTGTAAGGACACTTTCGCAAATTTACCCCTATTTTACCATATTTCAAGGACAAGACTCGGCTCCGAGAATTTTTCTTCCCGGTTTTCTCTTTTCCCTTCCCGGTTTTCTCTTTTCCCTTTTCCTGACCCCTATTTATCAATTTCGGGGACACCTGTGCCCCCCTATTTTTCTTTATTTCGAGGAATATTTTGTCCGCGGACATTGCTTGAAATTGACCCCTTTTTCCGCGATTTTGGTAACGGTCATGCGGTCCGGAAGTCACATTGAGTGACCCCACCGGGCACACGCTTCGCGTTTGATCTATAAGTAACTGTTTTTGTTCGTTGTTTCTTTCGTCCCTTTAAGCTATATAAGGGGGAAAAGACAAAAAGACAAACAAATTAAAATACGCCACAGTAAATAAACTGGCCAGTTAAATAAAGATGACTGGGTCTGGGTGCATAATTTCTCAGCCGGTCCCAAAATCATTATATTTTTTTCACACCATTATAATTAATTTATGGTAGCTCTCACTCGATTGTTCTCCCATCAATAATATTTCAGCCGTTGACTAAAAATTAAGATTGTATTTGTATTTTGTCTTTATTAGGAAACCTCATTCACATGATAAATGAATATTAAGTTTTACAATACATAGGCAGAACTTATTACAAATATGAAAATATTATTTGGAAAAAATACATGGAAACATCATAATTTATGTAATTATAAAAGTAGGCATATGGATTCATAAATGACTTCAAATGAGATTAAATGTTTAGCAAATGACAAACGGTATAATGCATGTAAAATCTTGTGTTGCTAATGGCAAATGATTATGAGTAAACCTAGTAGCAATAACCTAAAATTGGACTCTTGTTCATGAAAGAACTCAAATTAGAATTTTGTTCACTTTACAAAATATAATTTTTGGCTTTGAAGATAAGAGAAACAATGCTCAAAATTGCTCGAAACAGAATGTTTATTTGAAAATTGAATTCTAAAGAAAGTTTTACCATAATTATAAAGATGAGAAATACAATATTGTATGGAATGGAAAGACAATTGCTACAATAATTGTTGTTTGTATAGAAAGATTATTTTAACTTTGTTTAAACATGCACATCATTTGATTTGTTTTTGTGTATGTTAAGATTATTAATAAATAGCCTATGGAGGGCTCAAAAGTTGAAGAAAAAATATCATAATTATAACAGAAATTACGATGTATCTAATTTTGGGGTACACAAAAGGTTCGAATGGTCAGAAACTCATTGTTTACATTATTTAGGGCAGTTTCATCTCAACGTTTCCGATGGTCTGGGTTTGATAGAGAGAAAGAGGGAAAGATAAAGTGAGTGAGAGAGAGAGAGAGAAAAAAAAGAGGGTGAAAGGGAGAGAGAGAGAGAGAGAGAGAGAGAGAGGGGGGGGAAGAGAGAGAGAGAGAGCGAGAGAGAGAGAGAGAGAGAGACACACACACACAGAGACAGACTACGGACAGAGGGAGAGATAGATATACAGGCAGACAGATAGAGAGGCATAAACATAGATCATTATAATGAGATTTGAAAGGAGCTGAATCCAGATTAAATCAACATTAATACTCAAGGAACACATGGGAAGAATGAAAAAACGAGATCACCTAAAAGCATAAGTATAAACAAAAGAACAGGAAAAAGAAAGAACGTACAAAAAGGACAGAACAATTAATTAGATTGACAGAGATAGAGCTCGGGTTCGTAATGAACCAGAGCAAAATAACACTGAGTTCGTATGGGAAATCTATTTATTCAGACGGTCATATCTCAGCCAATAATTAACATATTCAATTGGTTTTCGACACTTGTGATGCTCTTTCGGAAAATGAAGGAAAAAAAAGTTAAGAAATTCTAAAATTAAATTTTTGATGACGTCACACTAACTTCCCCACTCTATAGGGGGTAAACATTGATGGGGCTGCAAAAGGGGGCAATAATTATTATCTCCTCCCACTTACTAAATAGGGGGAGACGAACAATGGGGGGGGGGGGGGTCCTTTCTATCTATCTATCTATCTTCTAGTCAGAGATACCCACCCCCTTCCCCAGCGTAAATATAAGCCTATTTAATCGTTATTAACCTTATTATTTGTTGCATTATGAGCACTTCTTGAGAAATATGCATCCACAACCCCTAACCCCGTACATGTATTGCAGTAGTCATTGGTAGTTGAAAGAACTGATAAAGATAATATTGAGAGAGAGAGAGGGGGGCGGGGGAGTGAGAGGGGGCAGGGAGACATGCAGGCAGAGGAATAAGTAAGGGATCGAAACAGAATGATAGTCAACGTACGGCTAATAATTACTTAAAACACAGACTAGAGTCAAGAAAGTCTCAGAAATAACTGCTCTTAACGTCAAACTTTATATTGATTTTATTTTTTCAAATATTTAATACTATCAATTTCCACTGAAAAAGATTAAGCAATTTCATTTATATTCATGATAATAAACTTTCAAGATGATGTTACAAAATATTGTAAAAGATATCATTGTAAAAACATAAGAATATAAAAAGCATGATTTTTGAAATAAATGTTATACAAATTATTTTGCTGGCTCTTCCCTCTTTCTCCTTTTGAGGCCAAACTAGGCTATTTCATGCTCTCTCTCTCTCTCTCTCTCTCTCTCTCTCTCTCTCTCTCTATCCTCCCCTCTCTCTCTCTCTCCCTCTCTCTCTCTCTCTTTATCTATACCTCTCTCCCCTCTCTCTCTCTCGTTCTCTTTAAGATCAAAACGCATAATAGGTATGCGTCTTGAGATAGTATGTATACACTCCCGTTCTTTAAAAAGAAAAAACAGAAAGTGGGAATAAGAAAACTGCAGAGAAGTTGGAGAGGTTGTCTGTCGGCGTTCCTAAATGAGATGAAGCCGATTTTCAACCTCAGCACAACCCGTCTACGTGGTCCAGTGGTTAAGGCATTTGGCCTACGTATACGCAGCAGAAGATCAGAGTTAGATTCCAGTCGAAGACAGCTATTGGCTTGTTGGAAACTTTGCTTTTATTTTTAACCAGACGGGAGGCAGTGAGGAGGGAAATCTTCCAGAGCTATAGGATGGTAACATTTTCTAAGCCACTTCATTTGTACAGTGCGTCCCAGAAAAAACGAAGCCGAGAATTATCGATGTTTTATCGTAACTTAATCACATTTTTAATTGATAAATGACAAATATTTGGAAAGCTTAGACCCTCCTCTTTCATTTTATGCAGCTCATATAATACATATTTCACGCATGAGTGATTAAAATGAATTTGAAGAGAGGAAACCAAAAAGCCATTTGGCGGACGGTATCTGAATTTCAAGGAGAAAATTACATTTCTAAAGAGTTGAGTTTCTGCCCTTTCATTATGATACCTCAATCAGGAAAAATGAGCAAGGAATGACAAAGTTCTGTTTGTTTAAAGTAGTGCTTGCATTTCCATAATTTTATCAAACTAATTTGTTTTCATTGGGTGCCTGCCGTAGCAACAAACAGAGTTGACAAAAGACTTAACTCCATTTCGCTGACAATCAGCCGTAGACAAATTAAAGACTTCACTACTTTAAACAAACAGAACTTTGTCCTACCTTGCTCATTTTTCCTGATTGAGGTGTCATATGAAAGGGTAGAACCTCAACTTTCTGGAAATGTGATTTTCTCTTTGAAATTCAGATACCGTCCGCCAAATGACTTTTTTGGTTTCCTCCCTTCAAATTCATTTTAATCACTCATGCGTGAAATATGCATCATATAAGTTGTATCAAATGAAAGAGGAGGCTCTAAGCTTTCCAAATGTGTGTCATTTAGTAATTATAAATGTGACTAAGTTACGATAAAAATTCTCGGTTTCGTTTTTTCTGGGACGCACTGTATAGCCTAATACTTTATACAGAATTATAAGCCATCAAAACATCAATACATAGGCGCCCCATAAGGATGGCTATCATATCCTTCGTCGTACAGTTGGAACTTTTTAAGGAACTCCCTAGCGTCCGAAACCCCATCCAGAAATGTCTTTTCCAGTTCCTCCCTCCGCGGGGGGTACAGCCCCTCGCCCATACGAAACATGTGCCACGGTTTGATGACGTAATTATCTCTGCCGACGTCACGAAGACCCAGGGTGAGGTTGTCGCGCGGTCTGCTCAGTCCCGCGTACTTATCGGGCGCGATGGTGATCACGTGACCGGATGGTGGGAATCCGCAGTCGGTGGCGTCTTTGGGCGTTCCGGAGAGCGCGCTCACATCGACGTAGTGCTGGTGGTGAAAGCGAAATTAAAAATAAGTCAGGACTGAAACTTTCTTAAAGGATGATGACCGAATGACTCAATGTAGGTCTTTAATTTTCCAGGGAGTTGGGATTGCCATGGTCTTAGTAAGAAAATTAACTTTGAAATATTTTGAATAAACACGATCGCTAAGACTTTCGAGAATCTACCAAATCAAATTTCAGTAGTACGGACAATACAATATGCCTTAAATGAAAAAAGCCAGTTCATGGTTGCAGTCTGAGCGTGAGCAGATAAAGGTCATTGCAGAACAAATTGTAATATAATTATACGGAGACGAAATACTATACGTGCTCATGAAAGTTATGTAATCATAATTCATTTATGCACAAGCAGTGCACTCCATGATACATAGGTGGAAGTATTCTTTGAAAAGTGGAAACAAAGGCTATTTATGTAGCACCTCCTCGCTGTAGGAGTGATTATTCCAAAAATGTATAGAGTGGGACCTCTTCATGTTTTGAAGATCTGTGGATATTCGGGGTTGTTTCAGTAATGTGCTAACCGTGAACTGGTCTATTGCCCTTGAGTTTATTTCTTGTAAGTCGTTGTCATCGTGTTAAGATCTTCTAGCTTCATGAAATTCGTTTTCCTTAAATTCTGTCACCATCGACAATGTCTTGATTAAATCAAATTTATATATTTAATTTGATTATGGTGTTAAATATATATATATATATATATATATATACTCATCTATCAAGCATTATATTTCGAAAATCATATATATCGCCCCATAATAGTGTAGGACTTCCAAACAAGATACAGGGACTGACTGATAAAGATGTTCACTTTTTTGCCAGAAAATAGTATTTTTAAAGACCGTCAACACTACTGGGCCAGAAGGGATTAGACCACACAGCCAGGTCACTGACAGGTGGCTATCTCATTAACTCAGCTCTCAACTAACATAAGAAAAAGAGGATCATGGGGGACCAACAGGCATCGATTGGGGAAGTTTTCTATATAGAGGGAGCAAGTAGCTACAAGTACTATAGTGGGGCTTTCAGATCTTCTTGCTTTATGAATTTCGTTTTCCTTAAATTCTGTCACACCCTCATCATCAATGTCTTGATTGAATTAAATTATATATTTAATTTGATTATGGTGTTTTATCAAGCATAATACTTCGAAAATCATATAAATCGCCCCATAATATTAATGTAGGATTTCCAAACAAGATACAGGGACTGACTGATAAAGATGTTCACATTTTTGCCAGAAAATAGTATTTTTAAAGTGTTGCAGAATCATCAGAACATACCGTATTGGTAATATTATAAATTTTAACGCACAAAATAATCTTTGTCAAGTGCCTGGTTACAAATTATTTCAATCACCTCTTACAAATAATTGTATTTCAATAGCCAGGATGCGATTTGCATACATAACATGTTGCGATCGAGGTAGGAGGAGCCATTGGCCCGAATTCACAAAGGAGGTTTGTCGACAAACCTTGGTTTTCGTACGTCATATGACGCGTTTCGACGCGTTTTTACAAACAAGGGCCATAGTGTTTGTCTTACCTAGCAACAGTATGCAATTCGCATTCTGACTATTGAAATATATTATTTTGTAACAGGTGAATGAAATAATTTGTAACAAATATTTATGCATTCAATTTGATTACGTATGCATTACGAAAATGGTTTATCATAGATGTTGGTTCATGAAATGGGTGAAAAGTGACCGGAGGGGAATAGGGGAGGGGGAGGGGTGGGGAGGGGGAGGGGGTGGGGAAGGGAGGGGGATGGGAGAGGGAGGGGGAATCTTACATACCTTTCCCATTACGGTCGGGGCACTCGCCGTGGGGCTGGATGGATAGTAAACTGCAGCGAGTAAAACCTGTCAAGCGAATGAATGGTAAGTAGGTCCGACGGAAGTAGGATGAGATGAAAGAGAAGGTGAAAATGAAGAAGAAATAAGAATAAGAAGGAGGATAAGATGATGAAGACAAACAGAGTAGATGGTGGAGAATGGGAGATGAAGAAGAAATATAAAAGAATTAAGAAGAAGATGAAGGATAAATAGAAGAAGAAGAGGAGGAGGAGTGGGAGGAAGAGGAGGAGGAACAACAAGAAAAAGATTAACAACAATATTCCATGAGATCTTTACAATATTCAACTAAAACTTTGAGGCAACAATAATGATATCTTTATTAGTTTAAATAAGACGATATCAAATTTGTAACTGATTAATAATGATTCACGTGATAAGGCTTACCAACCAAACGCAATAAATGCACTTCCATGACTTACAATCACGCTACATTTACGCTCAAAATTTTACGAAATAAAATGTACATTGCATCTATCTACCCCCCCCCCCCCCTTAACATTTATTCTTAGATGGAAATTATTAGAATGTTAATATTTACCTCAATGAGGGACTGCTTTGTCGAATACGCCGTCACAACTTGCTTATCACCAAAAAGATACGCCTTCCCGTCGACCGTCACGATGTCCGACTTCGTGGGGGGCTTGAGAGGCTGTAACTCTTCCTCCAAAGTTTGTGATCTTCTGCGCATGTGCACTGGGATGTTTTCCGTCGTCACAAGTTGTTGCAGTGGTACGTGGAGCCGATTCGAACACGTGTCGTGGCAATTATTCTGTTGATTGGAATGAACAATAAAAGGTAAAAGTGAGCTGAAGTATAACAAAATACATTGAAACGAAACACAAAACTTACAGGAAACATTATTTGTTTTGTTTCATATTCAGCGAAAACACCTGACTGTGCATTTATAAATAAGCCTACTGCAACTGAAGAAGAAGAAGACAATGTTCAAATATATTACATTTTCAACTATTTACTTCATGACTATTTTGTAGTTGATTATGTCCAGATTTTGAATGAATTTACGAAGGAACACCCATCCAGAGTAAACACAATGTTCAAACAATTACAATAATCAGAGTCTGATTATCAGACCAGTAAACTGCTACTCCTTGCGCTGTTAAAAAAATACTCGATTAAAAAAAAAAAAACATAATTTTAAAAATACTTTAAGCCTCCGTGTGTTCAATGAATTGTAGTTTTAACCTAAAAACAAACTAGACAAATATACACGCGGCTGTGTGACCTACGATCATTATAATCATAAAGCCTGTTACATCTATATTAAAGTTAGACCTACACGTGTTGAGGTTTGTCCACTTCGGAAGTCAACCCCAGATTAGCCAAAAATATCAATAACTTAATTCTTATGCAAATAATTTTGGTAGTGTACATCGAATCGACAAAATGTGTATTGTGTTTCATGAATATATTCAGCAAATATATAAACCTTGATTCAATTACCTTAAGAAGACCTTCAAGGACATGACGTATTTCCTGTGTGAGGTCGAATCTAGGGGTCAAAGCTCCCTGTGGAAGGCTGTGTATCTTTGTAGACAGTGCGAGGATGGCATCTAAATATTGCTAAAATTAAACAAAATAAAATATGACATTCTTTGTCATCGCTCAGCTTGTCGTTCCCAATATAATTTGATAGAATTCATAACTTTCCTAATTTCCAGCGGACTTTGCTCCAACTTTTACTGAATCTTTTTCTGAATCTATTAAAGCTTATCTGCCATGGTTTACAGGAGGGATTAGAGCGCCCTGCAAGGTCACTGGACAGGTGGTTATCTCATCAACTCAGCTCTCAGTTAACATAAGAAAAAGAGGATCATGGGGGACCAATGGTCACCGATTAGGCATTGTTTGTTATATAGAGGGCGCAAGTAGCTACAAGTAGTGCAGTGGGCCTTTAAACCCAACATTATATCAGAATGGACTTTCACTTAAGGTCTATTATCATGTTTTATTTTTTATTGTATACACGTATTTTATGTGTTTTCATATAATTTTCATAGAACTACGCGCACTTTTGATGTATCATAAATTAATATGTAATTGAAAATTAAAAATGAAACTGAAACTGAAACTGAAATTGAAATTAATATTGAAATTAAAACTGTAAATGGAATTAGAAAAGGAATTGAAATTGAAATTGAAATTGAAATAGAAATTGAAATTGAAATTGAAATTGAAATCGAAATTGAACTTGAAACTGAAATTGAAATCGGAATTAACTAATCTTAAACTTAAATCTCAGCATTAGCTTACCAGCAGGCATTCCGGAGCAGACATCATGAGCGCTGCCGTGAGCACCCCGGAGGAGATGCCCCCGTAAGACTCCACATTCTGTATTAATCTCTTCCCGTGGTCGAGAAGACACACTGCGCACCCCAGGTCGTATACCCCCAGGAACGAGTTTCCAGAGAAGCTGATCCGATAGGGACCACGCCCTTCCATTCTCAACGTCTGAATCTATCTGCAATATAGAAGTAGTAGTAGTAGTAGAAGTAGTAGTATAGTATAATAGTAGTGGTAGTACATGTAGTAGTAGTAGTAGTAGTAGTAGTAGTAGTAGTAGTAGTAGTAGCAGTAGTAGTGAGTAGCAGTAGAAGTAGTAGTAGTAGTAGTGGTAGTAGTAGTAGTAGTAGTAGTATGAGTATGAGTAGTAGTAGTAGTAGTAGTAGTAGTAGTAGTAGTAGTAGTAGTAGTAGTGGGTATTATAGTGGTAGTAGTAGATTGTCGAGACGTGGAAGGTAATAATTCCCAACCTTCTTTCCCATAAACAAGAACAAGGTCCTTCCAGCGAGAAGAAAAGCCCCTTCTGCGCCCCGCACACAAGGGATTCTTGGTTCTACAATCATTATAACCATCTTCTCGGAGGTTAGAACTTTTTTTTGGACATGATTGTGTAGAAAGTGACCTTGTCTTGTGGCAAATTCATAGTCGTATACCCTTCCATAAATCGATATTTATCTCACCTGCGCTATTCTGGACAATAGGCATTACATTGATTTCAAAGTGTGGTCAAGTAACATTGCTATTGTCTCAGGTGCTACCGAATAGGTATGCTACAATGACTATTATAGAGTACTCAAGGATATTATCTTGTCAAGCATGTTCTTTGTTGAGCATGAATAGAACACCAGTCATCAGACATTGAACTCCAGACAGGAGAGGGTACACACGAGACATACACGCAAGAGCATTGTATAAATACAGTTAGCAACTAAATTATTCATACCCTTGTTTTGTAATTTTCCAGGTATGTGGAAACAATATTCGTCCCGACTTATTATGTTGCTTGAGAATGTGACATATTAAAGCTTATATCTAAAATAATTCAAAAAAGGGTTATTTTGCTGACCGTAGAACTATAGTTTTGTTCTTTAGATAAAATAGGGGATGTCTTATACAATCATAGTGACATTATCAATTCGCACATCAATTCCCTAATCTGTAGTTATCTAAAAATGTAAAAAGTATCAATTCAAATCTCTGCATTCCGTCTATTAGTTAGTAAAGGCTGAATTCCCTTGTGCAACGTTACTGCCTGTTCCGATTATTTTTGTATCGTTATGTATGAAAATAAATGTCATAACTTAAGTTGAATTCCATTACTAAATATTTCAAGCTTGAATGTATACGATCAATACCGAACAAGGCGAATATTAAGCATACCACTTTCCCATAATAATGTTTAGCCTAATTCCTCTCCATATGAATATAGAATTCGGTGTCAGGACATATTCATAATGTAAAACTATAATAATACAATACCTGCCGAAGAGCGAGCACGATCTCTTGTTCAGCAATACCAACGCGTAGATCTCCAAGGCAACGACACGCCGCTCTCGGACAGCTCTCTCAAAATTTATATCGCACCGGTCGTCTGCTTGTCAAGTATAGTTGCGTTTACGTGTGATCTGCATTAACTACACGAGCGAAAAATACATGTATTCCGAAACGGCGCAGAGTTAATCAGACACTGATTAAAATATGATATTTTCCTAAAGATCGTTCAGGTGAAATGTGTGATAGATGATCTCCACATGAGTTTGCACAATACCTAATTTCTCTTGTGTGTGCGTACCTGCTATTTCGTGATAGGATTAAAATCGAGTGCGTGTGCTGAGATTGAATGCATGCGTGTGTGCGTGGAGGGGGGGGGGGGGGGTCCGATCACACGCTTGATTGACGGAGCGGTGCAGATTAAAGGGCATTATTGATGTATATCTCCAAGTGTACAAGGTGTTTCTTTTGAGCAAAATACCTGCATAGATCTCGTGATTTTAACTGGACTGTTGATCATCATGATTCGCGGTTCCTGTCCCAGCCCAGCACAAATGTCATTTGGCAAGACTTTTAATAATCTTTCGCCATTCGAAAACATGAAGAGGGGCATGTGTCCCATGCAGCGCCATAATTTAATTATTAGATACCTACAAAATGTTAAAAATATGAACTCATTTGGAATAAAAGATACTCCTGGGAAATTGGCTCAACGTCCTCCTCCCTACCAACACAGCAAAAATAAATTAAGGAAAAAGGGGGAGTTTTTAAAACGATCCTTTAAGTGTCACGTGACCGATCTACGACTCCTTCCCTATTAAAGACCGATGGCGTTCAGACAAAATGCTAACAGTATAACAACACCAAACAAAGGATAAAGACGAATACCAGTAACAGCTCTCATTCCCACGGCAAACTACAAACACATCCACACAATACAATGGTATAAGAACTTTTCAACAAAAATACGCAGAGATTTAGCTTTTGTTAGGATTCGTGTATCGCTTTGTTGGGTTGGCAAATAACGAGTTGCACGCTTGTATTTGCGAAAGTGTTTACTCCTTTTGAGCTAACGGCTTACAACCGTAGATGAGTGGTGGTTGAGGGCCCGTTGAGGGGTGGTAAAGAAATATATATATTCGTGTTTTTGTTTTTCTTCTAAATGGGCTCTTAGTTCCTTCTCTATTTGGTATTCTTCTCCCATTTTCGCGTAAATATAATTCCTTTCCCTTTCAATTTTTGCTTTTCACCCTCTTTCCCCTCATTTTGTTTCTTCCTTTGTTTCAAAGTTTTCTTTCTGTTTTGTCTTATTTTGCTTTTAGTTTGATATCCTTTTTCAATTTGCTTCATTTGAATGTCAATGTTCCATTCCCCTCCTTCTCCTCCCCTTTTAACCCCTCCCCCCTCATATTCCTGAACAAACACATAACAAAGAAGTTTGACTTCGTATTGCAATAATTCCAAAATTTCTTACTACACAGTTTCCCTGGGTTAGTGATATACCACTGCCAAGGATAATATCACTTTAGGATTGGGCTATACGTTTATACAGTACTAATATTTATGTCAGACACCTTTATCATACGGCTTGGAAGAATGGTCTAAACTATAAGTACTTCCCCCCTAAGGGAGCCCTCTAAATTCTGACTTTTAGAAAAATGTTATGTAATCGGAAAAATACAACACTTTCTTGTACTGCGAGTCTGTGACACATTGATTTTTTTTCGATCAGTGCTGTGACAGCGTCTTAATTAATTTTGAAATACTGTATTGTAATTTAAGTTATTTTCGGGTCGGAGGGGGGCGGAGGATACTCAGGATTTCTGCTTGCATTTTTCTTCTATAAAGACGCCGTTTTGTAAATATAAAATAAATATACTAATATTGATATTGTTTTTTTTGTTTTGTTTATTTTTGTATTAAATTTATTTATTTATAAGATGTTTTATTTCCTCAATACCAGAGGTAGTACATAATAATCATAATTATGCAATGTACATCATAGAGAACTAACATCACATTCAGAGATTAAAAAATAGAATATACAAAAGGATAATTCTTAATTAACATTAATTGCTAAACAAACAACTTTTTCATACATTTCCTTATTTGTTTAAAACAATAATACTGTATACAGTAGGTTTGCGGGTGCACCATGTGTGAGAGAGAGAGAGAGTGGTTTAAGGAGTCCTGAAAAAGACTCTGACTCGGTAATCTTTCTTGGAGGAGTATAGTACTTATAATACTAATTTCTGATAATAATACTGTACACTATTTCCACGGCGTCAAATTTCACTCTAAATGGCGTCAGCTGGGAGTCAACTCTATTCCTAGTTAAAGTGACACGGATTCCGTATCAATTTGACTCGGATTGTGTGGCATCTGCTGAGAATTGACTCAATTCAGAGTCAAGATGACTCCTTTTTCGTGTCACTTTGAATAGAGTTGACTCCCAGCTGACGCCATTTAGAGTGAAATTTGACGCCGTGGAAATAAGAGTGTAGTAGTAATAATAATAATGATAAAATACTTAGTCATTTCATGTTCATTTATGTTCATTTCATGTTCATTATGTTGCTTTTAATATCGGATATCGCACACGTAATATTCATATGTGGTTATAAGGAATAAATCCTTGTCTTTATAGGACAAACTTATCTATAGATATTTGAAACCTATAACTCTCGATAGGGACTCGGAGTCCAGTGAATGAGCCACTATACCACAATGGACTCAAGAACTCTCTCAGCTAGCTCTCTCTCCCTCACTTTCTTTCTCTTTACCTCTCTCTCTCTCTCTCTCTCTCTCTCTCTCTGTCTCTCCTAGTTTCTCTCTATCCCTGTCTCTTTCTCTTCTTCTCTCTCTCTCTCTCTCTCTCTATCTCTCTTTCTCTCTCTCTTTCTCTCAACTTGTAGACCTAGCATGCCCTAGCCGCCCGGGTCAATCCCCTATAGCTATATTGGTTGCTATCGCTACACGACGCGTTTCTCAGGCGAGAAAGCACGTACAACTTTTCCCCCATCCTGCAAACGAATGGATTGTAGTCGTTAAATACAAACCCATTTTGAAAACAATTATTGTTGCAGGTGGAGCAAGTGGCAATAACAATAATTATTTTAATAATTGATTTTTGGTATAAAATATAACTAAATTGCTAGTATTCGAATGTGTTTTAAAGCTCGTCTGCGCCAGTGTGGCCAGGGGAATTAGACCTCCCTGCAAGATCACTCAGGACGGTGGTTATCTCATCAAATCATTGCATTAACATAAGAAAAAGAGGATCATGGGGGACCAACAGGCACCGATAAGGCATTGTTTAGAGGGCGCAAGTAGCTATTAGTAGTGCAGTGGGGCTTAAAGGATATCAATGGAATCAGTGGCTGATCGGGGGGGGGGGGTTCTAGAGGCACGTGCTCCCTGGCCCCTCACAAAAAATAATAGGACAATGCAAGTGGAAGAAGCTGAGGACTGATGACTTTTTTTTTCTCTCTCTCTCTCTCTCTTTCTTGAGAACTTTTTTTTAAATACAAGAATGAATTACTGACTAAATATCATGTCAGAAGACACAACATACAAAGTAAAAGCCAATTAAAACAACTCAGCACGGGGCTCATGGATAATTCCGTATATAAAAATACGCCCCCATGGGGGGGGGGGGGGGTAATTTAGTCTACAATACAAGCGTTTAGCGAACTGATGATGTAAACAAAGGGCACGTGGAAGGGAAAATAATCACCAATGAAATTAAAGTAAGTTGTGGTAATGATTACCTGGTTGTGCAGCATTTTCTCTATTAATATTGGCCTAAATTATGTTTTTCTACCTTCATCCTAAACACCACCCAACTGAGCTCAGAACTGTCTGAATATCCGAGACTACATTATTGGTATCGCAAACAGAAAGTACAGAGGGCACACAGGGCAGGGTACAAAAGATGAGCACATAAAATGCCCGGAGAAATACGTCTGGTGAAAGAAATCATTCACACAGATATCGTTTACCTTTTGACATGGGAATAATAGGAAGAGACAAATATTCTATTTGCCGATTTGAGATTAACGAACTGGTTCCAAATTACGAGCACCGGTTCGCTCGCATACACGAACAGGGTGTTCAAATCACCTAGGTACGCGTTAAACACGTACGGGGTAATAATATTTTCGGAGAACTACGTGAGGAGACTTCGATTTTATTATAGACCGGTGATAATAGTAGACACTCCGGTAGACACTGTTTCCATCCATAGTTTGTCAATATATTGACGGAGATACGCTAGAGTTTGGATCATGCTTCATTACTGGAATTAATGCCCGCACGCAGTATAATTGGTTCGTCAAACTGTCACAAAATGTTTATGTAGCATAATGTTATAACGAGGTCATTAAACCACAATTAACTTCACCGTTCGGGACACTAATTGTTGTGGTTTTTGGAGTGAGAGAGTGAGAGCGAAGGACTTCGATCATTCGTTCGTCCAGAGCAAGATTCGTCCGATATTACCTATCTGCATGTTTTGAAAGCTAGAGGTGAGTCGCTAAACAAAGAGAATACAACATTTTAAAACAAACATATTAGAAATATTGATGTGGAATAGATTTTGATTTGATAATAGTGATCATGTTTATAAAGAAGAGAGCAGAGTGTCCAGAAAAATTGTTTTCTTTCGTTAGTCCGCAGCAATTAGTTAATGGTTTATTTTCTATTATTATTTTGTCTCTGTATTTTTTTAAAATATATTATTTATTATTGTGTGCCAGAGAATGAACTAAAATAGAATAAATATTTTGGCTCGACGTGTGGCATCTTATAAAGCATTTTACAAAACACAGGAAAAGGAAAGGGTTGTTAATAATAAGCAAACATTGTAGGGACATCTTTTTCGGAAATTCATACAATCTGTGACATAATAATTATTGTGGGACATTGGAAAGTGTATAAGTGGTTAATCATTACTTTTAAACAAACTTTTAAGGCGGGGTTCTACACTTAATGGAACATTTTCAACATTGGTTTGGGATGATTGGATGTTAAGTTAGCCAGTCGGATTGAAATTAATTCGCAGGAGGCCGCCGAATTAGTCACAATGTTTAGACCTGCAAAAATATGATGGGGAACATGATGATTTTATATCAAAATATTTTCCAGAGTCGGTAAAGATATAATTATATTGTAGGTTTAAATCTGCACAGGGAGAACTCAGTTTGGATCACATTACAATACCAGTAACTCAGACTCTGCGGGGGATATCTAGCCTCAAACTCAGGACAATACACGTATTTCAATACAAGAGTCATCGCACTTAACAACACTTTAAAAGCCGTGTATCACCACAGTCATGATCGATATTATTGATCGGAATCGTATACTTTTGAATGGGTTTTTATCGGCGTGATGCTTTTCGCAAGGAAATGTTGTTTTGTGATAGCACTTTGTTGATTGGCTTACAAGGTAATAGTACGCCTTGTAAACACCAAATAATGTTGTTGTTCTAATACTAATATACACATACTTCTGACTACTACTAGGCCTACTACTACTACTACTACTACTACTACTACTACTAAATATGCTAAGACCACAACAACTTCTACAACTTCAAATACTGCTACTACTATTACTTCTAAAAGCCTAAAAATTAATAATGATGATGATGATTATAACAATAATGAATGATATTAATAATAATATAGTAATAATAATTTTAATAATATTAATAATATTAATAATATTAATAATGATAAAAAATGATAATAAATGATATAGATAGCCATGATAGCAGTAATATTTTTTGCTATCGTCTTCTTATACATAATGTATATAGTTATTATATTTATAAATTAATGTACTGGTTGTTAATATTTCCTGTCTCAACATCTCCTTATCAGGGATACACCCAACCCATTATGACGTCACATGTGTCTCCTCCCTTCAACCTGTCGTTCACCGAGGCGTCGTTCTTCGGACTGAGCAACCTCGGTGTGGCGCAATGCCTCCTCGATCACGGGACCGTAGTCCTCTCCCAGATGCAGGCGATAGGCGGCTCATCCTCCAGTGCCATCATCGCTGCTATCATAGCAACGGCTCCTGAAAAATTAGCGGTAAATTTAAAGCAGTGTAACAGATCCGTGGGCGACACTGATTTGCACCCCCCCCCCCCCCCCTCCGGCTAAAAAGCAATAAGGCACACCAAGAACCTGATTTCCCCTTTTTAAAACTTTTTTTTTCGTCTCCGTTTTTTTTCGTTCATTTTTTCTTTTTTCTTCCCTTCTCCCCTTTTTTTTCTTCTTCTTTGTGTATCTTTTGGTTTGTCACAGAATGTTCGGACTTGTGCGCCCCCCCCCCCCCCCCGCCAGAAAACTCTGTCCGCCACTTTAAGAAATGGAGATTCTCTAGGAAGCCTTTTGGTATTGGGGAACTGTGTGTGTATGTTAATGGGGTGCATTCAGTTACAGAAATTGATTTTACAAAACGTGACTTGCTCAATATTATTATATCGATATATTTTGCATTTGTTTAATTAAACGCTGATTATTGGGAGCGAAGTAAGGCTTTTTAATAGAGGAAATGATTTTACAGTGAATTGCTCATTTGATATATATATGATTGGCTAGTGTAGGCCTATATAAAATTGAGATATAAAGACTAGGAACACCATCTTATTATTGAGGATTTGTTTACTTTTTCAGTTACGTATCATCTTAGAATATACATAAAAGGATAAAAGAAAACAACATGATTGCAAAGATGTTAAGAAATTTTTTTTCACTGGACCTAATATCCATCGCAACTTCAACTTTTATTTACTTATTAAATGTCTCCTTACTTAGGATTTACTCTATGGCCTCTACGATATCGTCGACGAGATGTCGCCCCTCCCAAATGGCGCCATCACCCCGGGATTTGATTTCATTGGTCGGCTACGCGCGCTCCTCGACCGGCTCCTACCAATCACAGCGCACCAATTAGCATCTCATAAATTATTCATCAAAGCTACAGAGCTGCGATTGGTTGATAAGTACGACGCGCTGACGGTGCATGACGTCGATCAAGGGACGAGCTCGTGCGTGAGGTCGAAGGGACCAAAAGTATTCGAGGTCGGTGATCGGGCTTGGGCCTTGGGTGCCGAGGTACAGATTTCAAGCTATGCGAGTCGAGAGGAACTCATCGAGGTGAAGAATTTATCTTTCTTATTTATAAAACTCTTAATCTCTTTGAAATCGCCTAAGATCATATTTTCATAGATCTCTACGTTGCTTTCTTTCCTCCCTCATTTCCTCTATAGCTCTTTCCTTCCTCCTAATTTTTTTCTCGCTTTTCTTCGTCTTTTCTAACCCAATTCATCACGGCAATGATTTCTAAATTGTATACCGACCTCCTTTTAAAGAGTGTCGTTCATTACGTAATTCGCCAAAAATTGCATCTATAAAATGTTTAATTCATTTCTTTCAACATTGCAGTCCATTATGTAACATAATTTTCTTGACCATTTTCGAAATGCTACAGGTGTGTAGTAATATATCTCTGCGCAGTGCATATGCTTTTCAGTAAGATACAGACAACTTCTTCTTCAAGTTCTTCCACAATCTCCAGGGGGGTGTTTCACAGAACTTGTCATCAGTGACAAATGACAGTTTTTGTTATAAGCTACTGAAATCCTTGCTTCTGATTGGTTATCAGCAGATTTTTCACTGATTGTTGTCATTTCGTCATTGAAAATAGGCTTTGTGAAACGGGTCCCAGATCGCATTATGTAATCCATAATCAACCTTTCCTTATAAGTCATTTTCGTAATGTTACCAATAATATATAATTTTAGTCAGAGTACGAATTGCATACATCCCGTGTACCCAAGGTAAACAAACTATAATGTTAGTCCTACCTAGCATCAACTAATGCAGTGGGCATTCTGACTATTGAAATACAAATATTTGTAACAGGTCAATGAAATAATTAGTAATGAGGCACTTAACAAAGACTTATGTATTGAATTTGTTTACAATACGATAATGGCCTATTCCTAATCTAATAGCATGAACAGTACTCAATTTTAGCTCAGTGACAACAATAATTGAAATGTTGACGTTTGCCTTCTTTGTTCTGTCGGTATCATTGTGACGTAGGTTATCCTGGGCAGCGTCTTTGTACCTTGGTTCACGACGTGGACACCGCCTTCATTCGATGGCAAGGTAGGAATTATTTTTCACAATCTCAAAATGCACAGGAGTGGAAATCAACTTTTTAAATAATAGTAATAAAAATAAAAGTAGCAATGTTGATAATAATATGATAATAACCTCATTATCGAGTGAAAATCCACGCTCAAAAGAGTGGATCATGTCCACTTTATAAAGAGTAATATGACCTCTTCTTTGGATCCAAACGATGACGACGACGATGAAATATTTTAGGCCCATTTTCACAAAATAATGTACATTTAAAAAAGACTAGCCAAACTTGGATAAAAGAGATCATTTGCATTCCATTTCTCGATCTTTCGTGAATTAATATTGGGGGATGTTTTCATGAAGTTCGTATAACCCGAAAACCCGACTCGAAGACCCGATTGAACGGAGTAAGTCCTTGGGCATTTACCCGGTAACAAATACTGTTAGTGTGACAGGAAAAATTAGCTCGAGGGCAATTTCAATATGGTATTGCACATAGAAGACGTTATTGTAATGTATTTCCAAAGTAACGCACAGTGCTATATTGCCTGAGATGAATTTTTTAAAGCCTTGCGATCATTATTATTTACAAACAAAATTGATTTAGAAAGAATTATTTAAACAAAATATATATATTGTTCAGGGGCGTACGCAGGATTTTTCAAGGGGGGGGGGGGGTTTAAAATCTGGCCAAAAATATTTTGCTCCCGAAAATTTGAAAAGTCGCTCAGTGGGGGGGGGGGGGGGGGTAAGCGGGACACTTTTTTTTATAGTCCAAAAAAAAATCGCAAAGACTCAGCCAACCGAAAAGTCGCTCAGTGGGGGGGGGGGGGGGGGGGGGGGGGGGGGGGGGGTAAGCGGGACACTTTTTTGATCGTCCAAAAAAAAAATCGCAAAGACTCAGCCAACCGAAAAGTCGCTCAGTGGGGGGGGGGGGGGGGGGGGGGGGGGGGGGG